CATTGATAGGCTGTCTCCTGCACTCCCCCTACTAGGAATCAAGCCTGCAACCAGGGTATGTGCCCTGACCTGGAATCAAACTGTATGTAACCTCCTGGTTCATAGGTTGACACTCAACCACTGAGCCACAGCAGCTGGGCTGGTTCTTGACTTTTTTGTCTGAATGTTGTCACAAATGGCAACATTTCATCATTTCTTATGGCTGAGTAGTATTCTATTGCATATATGTACCATATATTTCTCCAGTCATCTATTGAGAGACACTTTGGTTGTTTTCACCTCTTGGCCACCATGAATAATGCTGCAATGAACATAATGGTGCATATATTCTAGTAAATAAATGCCTTCAAAAATTTTGGGGGTAAATATCCATCAGAGGGGTTGCTGGGTCATATGGTAACCTTATTTTTAATTTTTTGAGGAACCTTATTACTGTTTTCCATAATGGCTGCACCAGTATACATTTTATAAGCAGTGAATGAGGGGTCTTATTTCTCCACACTTATCTGACTGTTATTACTAGTCTTATTGATAATAATCATTCTAACAAGTGTGCGGTGTATCTCATTTTACTTTTCATTTTTATTTTCCAAGTAGCTAGTGAAATTGACCAGTTTTCATTTATTTGTTGGCCATTTGTATGTATTTGGGGGGAAAGTGTCTGTTCAGGTCATTTGCAAATTCATTTATTATTATATATGTTATCATAGAAAGATATCTATATATATGATATTATAGAGATATGTGTATATATCATGTCATCAGGAAATTAAGACAGTTCTATTTCTTTTCTTTTCTGATTAAAATCACTCCTATTGCTTTTTCTTGCCTACTAGTTTTAATTGTTGAATCTACTGTGCGAATATTTTGTTGAGGATATTTGTATCTGTGTTCATCAACAATATATGGCTAGAATTTTCAACCTTATAGTGTGCTTGTCTGGTTTTGGTATATAGCAATTCTGGTCTCATAAAGTAAATTTGAAAGCATTGCTTAATTGTCAAAATCAGAAGAATTTTAGAATGATTGGTATTAATTTTTCTTTAAGTGTTTTCACCTGGGAAACCAAACTGCTGATAAACCTCAAGACAAGCCTCCTAAGGTCCACCATTTCTTGGGGCTTTAATTCCCCACTGACCTTTTCAGAATTTAAACTCCATTATACAGAATGAGATGAGGAAAGAGCTATTCATGGGGATTCTCTAGCACTGACCCTAATTCTATATATAAAATCAACAATCATGGTACGTTCTTATTCCCTGAGACTCCAGTATATCCCATCCTCAAACACCTACATGAATGGACCCATTATGGAAAGGATGCTTTAGTGGACCTCATTTGATATCATTTGAAGGGCTCTCATTTACAGAGGACCATTTAGAAGGTCATCCAAGCCTGTCTGATAGGCACCAAAAACAATTCAAGAAAGGGAGTATAACATAAATGGATATGCCTATTTGAGAACTGGCAAGTTGACTTCACACTGATGCCTAAAACCATAGGAAACCACTTGTTTGGGCTTTAATTCCCCACCTGAACTTGTCAGAATTTAAACTCTATTATACAGAATGAGATGAGGAAAGAGCTATTCATGGGGATTCTCTAGCACTGACCCTAATTCTATATGGAAAATCAACAATCATGGTATGTTCTCATTCCCTGAGACTCCAGTATATCCCATCCTCAAACACCTACATGAATGGACCCATTATGGAAACAATGCTTTAGTGGACCTCATTAGGCATCATTTGAAGGGCCCTCATTTACAAAGGACCATTCAGAACGTTATCCAAGCCTGTCAGATAGGCACCACAAAAAAATTCTAAAACAGAATGTGCTCCTATAGGAAAGGGAGTATAACATAAATGGATATGCCTATTTTGAGGACTGGCAAGGTGACTTCACACAGATGCCTAAAACCATAGGAAACTTTAAATTTTTAGTAGTTTTTGTAGACACTTTTTTTTTTTGGATGGGTAGAGGAATAACCCACTAGAACTAAGGAGGCAACTGAGGTAGCAAAACATCTACTCAAAGAAGTAATTCCTATGTTTAAACTTCCTCATAGCAATCAAAGGGACAGTAAACCATTGTTCACTTCAGAAATCTCCCAGAAGGTAGGACATGCACTACAGATTCAATGGAAACTACATGCATCTTGGAGGCCTGGATCTATGGGAAGAATAAGAAAATGAACCACACAAGAAAGACCCTGGTGAAAATATGCAGGAAACACATTTGAAATGGGACCAGGTGCTCCCTACTGCCTTGCTCCGGGGTAGGGGAGTGCCCCAAAGCATACCCAGACCCTTTGAGACAGTTTATGGGAGACCCTTCCCAGTTCCTGTTTTAGGGACACCCTTTTGGATTTAGAACACGAATTGAAAATCAAACAATATGAACAACACCTAGAGCAAAAACTGACAATTTTGCACAAGTTTGCCCATTGCAGGTCCATCTACCTATCTGACAGGCCCTTACACACATTCTAACTGGGAGACCGAGTCTTACTAAAGACCTGGAAGACTCAAGGTCCTGAGCAGCAGTTAGCTGAGCAATAGACCAGTCCCTATGATGTCCTGCTGACAACACACTCCTTCCTAAAGCTCACGGGACTCAGTCCTTGGATCCACCCCACACAGATGAAGTGGGTGCCACCTGAGGAGGATTCAGATCTTGCTGCAGCTGCTGATACTGCACGGGAAAGCTGGGCCTGCTCTCCTGAAAGAGTTCTAACATTCCTCTTTCGGATGGAGACAGCCTCCCAAAGCTAAGTGACAACGTGCCTTTTCATTTCATTCTGCATTTTCCAGACAGGGACTTCCTTAGCAAACTTATCCTGCTATTGAGGGTGACACCCAAAGCCATGCTCAGGATTAGATGATGGGGGTCCTTCAGTCTCTCCAGTTTCTGATTTCACTACATTTCCCCCCCACACACACACACACTACAGGGCATAGCCCTCACTAAACACTTGATTGTTGGTCTGCACAATAGGTCTCACTTTGGAAGCACCGCCTCTTGCAATATGAAGCACTTAACCAGCTCCTCTAGTTCAGTAGCCCCATCCTCTACACACTGCGTATGCCATCTTCAGAAGACAACACTCTTCCTCCTGTAAAGGCTTCCCTCCATTCTTGACTCTGCTCCTCCTCCCCTCCGCCCCCACCACTTCTTTTATTAGACAGTAAGAATCCCTGGACCCAGGCATAGCTGAGACTATGCCATTTGACAGCAGGAAGAAACCACAGAAGATGAGACCTTCATTCATTTACCCTGTGAGATTACAAGCATCCAGAATTTGGAAAAGGGGAGTTGTTACCATAGGAGCAGACAGTCAGCTGGGGCCCAGGAGAGTGCCTCCCATTGGCCAAGATGGTGTTATGGGGAGTTTCTTACACTGAGCTGCCAAAAGCTAGCAATATGAATGGATAGGGCCATGAGTCCACCAAGAGCCAGCAAGATAATCGGATAGGGGGAAAGCCCTCCTCTCACTATCCAGATAAGAACAGCAGGCTTGAGTAGGAAGAGGAGATGGTCTTTGAGACAGAGGGTGAAGGGATTGCTCTTTGAGACAGGAGCCTGCCATTCTCCCAGGTCATTTGGTTCCTGAATAAATCCTCTTTTCTTTTCCACAAGCACCTGCCTCATGAGTTTGGCTTTCACTATGACAGGTACACAAACCTCCATTTTCTGTTCAGTTACATATAG